ATTATTATTATTATTATTATTATCAAGCTGTAGCATCTAACAATTTTAAAAAGTATGGGTAAATGGCTGCCAACGACAGGCGGGACAGTTTTTATCTTGGGGAGGTAATTCATTATTCTTTAAGTGCAGGAGATAAAATGTAGTTAGTTCCCTTATTTTTCTATGACGCAGTCATTGACATGATTATCTTTGGATAGAGTACATGTACATGGTGGACAGAGAATCTATATTATGTCTATTTGTCTGTCTATCTGTCTGTCTGTTTGTCTGCCTGTCTGTCTGTATGTCTCCCTACCTATCTATCTATACCAATCGATGACATAGCATGCCACATTGCCATGCCATACTATACCATACACCACACCACACCACATCACACCACACCATACCATACCACACCATGCTATGCCATATCTTGCCTCACCCCAACACTGCACCACACCACATCACACCACACCACGCCACACCACACCACACCACACCACATCACACCACACCACACCACACCACACCACACCACACCACACCACACCACACCATACCACACCCCACATGCTATGCCATACCATGCTATGCCATACCATGCCTCACCCCAACACCACACCACATCACACCACACCAACCACAACACATCACACCACACCACACCACACCACACCGCACCACCTCACACCACACCACATCACACCACACCACACCACCTCATACCACATCACACCACACCACACCACATCACACCACACCACACCACCTCATACCACATCACACCACACCACACCACATCACACCACACCACTCCACACCATTGCTATGCCATACCATGCCTTTGCCCAACACCACACCACACCACACCACACCACACCACACCACACCACACCACACCACACCACACCACACCACACTACCCCACACCATGCTATGCCATGTCATACCTTACCCATACACCACACCACATCACACCGCATCACACCACACCACACCACACCACACCACATCACATCACACCACACCACACCACACCACATCACACCACACCACACCACACCACATCACACCACACCACACCACACCACACCACACCATGCTATGCCATACCATGCCTCACCCCAACACCACACCACATCACACCACATAACATCACACCACACCACACCATACCACACCACACCGCATCGCACCACACCACACCACACCACACAACACCACACCACACCATACCACACCCCACCATGCCATGTCATACCATGACTCACCCCAACACCACACCACATCACACCACACCAAACACAACACATCACACCACACCACACCACACAACAACAGACCACACAAACACCGCACACCTCACACCACACCACATCACACCACACCACACCACCTCATACCACATTACACCACATCACACCACACCACACCACCTCATACCGCACCACACCACACCACACCATACCATGCCATGTCATACCATACCCCAACACCACACCACACCACACCACATCACATCACACCACACCACATCATACCACACCACACCACACCACACCACACCACACCACACCACACCATACCACACCACACCATGCTATGCCATACCATGCCTCACCCCAACACCACACCACATCACACCACATAACATCACACCACACCACACCATACCACACCACACCGCATCGCACCACACCACACCACACCACACAACACCACACCACACCATACCACACCCCACCATGCCATGTCATACCATGACTCACCCCAACACCACACCACATCACACCACACCAAACACAACACATCACACCACACCACACCACACAACAACAGACCACACAAACACCGCACACCTCACACCACACCACATCACACCACACCACACCACCTCATACCACATTACACCACATCACACCACACCACACCACCTCATACCGCACCACACCACACCACACCATACCATGCCATGTCATACCATACCCCAACACCACACCACACCACACCACATCACATCACACCACACCACATCATACCACACCACACCACACCACACCACACCACACCACACCACACCATACCACACCACACCATGCTATGCCATACCATGCCTCACCCCAACACCACACCACATCACACCACACCAACCACAACACATCACACCACACCACACCACACCACACCGCACCACCTCACACCACACCACATCACACCACACCACACCACCTCATACCACATTACACCACATCACACCACACCACACCACCTCATACCGCACCACACCACACCACACCATACCATGCCATGTCATACCA